TAAAAAACATTGCTTTCTGTTCTCAGGACAGGCATATCAGTAGTAGGGCAGCCCTGTACCATATATTTCTGCCACATACTTCTGAAGTGTCAATTACACAAAACAGAATGTGAACTGGTCTTTCTGCTTAGACTCAAAATTAGGTCAGCCTACAGTAATGGCTTAAGATCAAGAAAACTTTCCAGCTGTTCATTAAACAATTAGGCTAAGACTCAACTCATGCAACTGAAATCATAAAACATAAAGAGCCTTTAATTACCACAATTCTATAGATATATGTATTAAAGGAGAGAGCATGGAGGTGAAATGGTTCTGTAACATATCATTTTCCTGCTCTTAATAAAGTCAATGGCTGCCATAGACTTCCAGTGACAAAATGAAAGCCACAGCTTCTACGTGTTTTAGAGCATTAAGTCAACATTTAGTACTGCCAATGTCTATTTTAAAATAACCTAAATATTTTACAAGTTCAAGGAAAAAACCAAAACAACTACCATTAACACAAGAGCAAGCAAAAAAAATAAATCTTTGGAAGAAAACCAGAGGGTTAGTCCTTTCTGGAGGTCCCTGTTCTTTAATGATTCTTATTCCCAAAGGCAAACCCATAAAAGTGCAGCTAAATACTCAGCACAACAAAGGGAAGCGCTGCTGCAAAGAAATATAAAAACCTACAACGAATTAATGAGCTAAAATTGGAACCACAGTTCTGCCTAGTCCCATTCTCTATTTGCTTTCCTCCCACTCCATGCCACAGACCACAGTGTAGTCTTGGCTTGCAGTGTGGACAGTGGGAGGCAGGAGTAGATATCCTCAAACAGAAGAGGACAGAAGAGTATTGCAGATCTATCTGAATATACCTTTAACTGAAGAGCTCATGGAGGCATAATTTAGAGCCAGCAATAGACAAGGTCATTTCAAATTAAGGATTTCCAGAAAGGCAATGCAGAGCAAAGAGACAAGTCCAAGCACAGAGCTATTTTTTTGTGCTTTAATTTTATAACAGTGGTTTGTATTCAGCAAAGAATTAAGCAAAAAATAACAGTGCATGTAGCAGGCATTGCTTGGCTTAACTAAAGCAAATCGTGCTGTGTGTTAAACCTGCTCACAGATTTTGCAGAGTCAACAATACATCAATAGTGACTGATTATATTAATTACCTTCTAGATTAATATGTGTGGCCTTTTCAGCTGTGTTGTTAAATGGAATAAAACCAAGAACTGATGCCACAGAATAGTGCAACTCAGACTTTTCCCATGAAACTTGACTGGATTCTAGTTTCTGTTTTCTGTAGCAAATGGGAAGTTTTAAATGCTAACCCTCTATCCCCTTTCGTCCTTTGCAGGCCATAGTAGAACAAACATGCTAATTTCCTGCACTGAGATTTCTCAGTTTTGCAAGGATCTAAACAAGAACTGTTTCCTGAGATTTTTAATCAGAAATAACACATCTCAATATTATCATGCCAAAATTATCTTGTTCCTTCCTACCCCTCCTTCATCTTCATTCTCCTGTTTAATGCAAGTACCCTTGGAAGCAAGAAACAATCATTCCTTTTTGTTTTGCTTAAGAGCAGAAAAAGATTAAAAAATATGGTAGAGTTTCTTCTGAGAAATTTTGCTTTGGCATTTGCACAGTCAATCAGAATGATGATGTTGTTCAGTACAACTGGGAACAGAAATATAAAAGTCCATCTGGTGCTGGTCATAAAAATGAATGCATATTTTACCACTGAAACATATTTTTACAAATCCTCTCTGTATTTCACTCAATGTCATTAAACTATATCATCCCAGCACCCTAGGTGGAGGCAGGATAAGGAGACTGGAGGAAGGCAGGTTTCCCCACTGCCATGACTTGACTTCACTGTATTTATCACAGCAAAAATACTGCCATTAACTTCCAGTTAAAGGGCGGGCTGTACAGTAACTATTTGTGATCATTTCATCTTTAAAAGGTCACTGCTAATAAATTGGGGAGGGAGGAGCAAGAGAGGGGGAAGAGAAAAGAAAGAATTCTCATGTTCAATTAACAATTTCAAGATTCAGAATAACCATTATCTGATAGCCAAAAAACCACAGGCTGTATTTTTGGTACAAAGTACACTTCAGATTTTCAAAAATTAGCACTTAAAGTAGGTTATACAGTATAGCTATACAACTGTTTTCCTTCCCCTGAATCATTATCACAATTTTTCCACTGCAGAAATATTTTCACTATCAGAAAGTTACACAATAGTACTACTTTATCAAGAAGAGAATATTTTCCTGATTCTAGAAGCAGACATTCTAAATTAATGAAATGCTGTTTGATGTTAAGTGATCCTAAGTGCAAAAAAAGTGATTATATTATATTTTTAAAATATTTTGCTGCTTAATGATGGTATCAAGTGGGTCCTAAGAAGATATTTTCATCTGCAATACTTAAATTAGCTACCATAACATGAAGGAGAGAGAAATAGGATCCATGTGAGATTGACAATCTCAGAAGTACTTTGCTACTATAGTCTATACTTTCAAACTGTCCTTAAAAATATATCAATATCTAAATTGATTTTTGAATTAAAGAAAATATTATTCTGTTATCCTTCAGTCATCTTTGAAGGGCAAAGGCAATTTTAAAAGACATCTGTGTACAATTATATTGGACTGTCTTCAGGCTGCAATTTGACTGAGGAAGGCTTCCAAATGACAAAACTGACACTGCACTAATACTATCATTTCCACGGGTTTAGCTCAGGCTCCAAAGTGATGTCAAGGACAGATCAAGATTTGAGATAATCCAAAAAATGATTCAGAGTACATAAACAGGTATAACTGGTTGATTTACATTCAGCTTCACATTACGTAAAGGATAGCATTAATCTGATCTCTTATATTAATTCTACTCTGCAATGTTAACAATTCTTTCAAAACATACTGAAAATTTTATTCCAATTAATATCATACTATAAAGGAAGTAACCAACACGGTGTTTAGAGAAATCACCACAGCACAACTGCAAGTGAGGCAATAAGAAATTCAGGTGACTATAATCTAGCCAACAGCATATTATCAAGGAGTGATAGACTCTGCAAATATTTACAATCCTTAATTTAGAACTCAAGTAAGGATTTTGGGGCTGGTTTTGTTTGTTTTCTTATTTCTAAGAGGAATAATTCCTGGCATATTCAAAGACATATAAACAACTACTAGGCAAAAATACAATATATATATTAGAAACAAGTTAATACTTGCACAGTAAAAAGAGGAAGAAAAAGCAAAATATAAAAGGAACTCAGTAGACTACCTGTTACAATATCCCTTTCATCATGCTCACAATTCCTTAGAAGATTTGTACATATTAAAACTGCAAGTGGCTTCATCCCTGCCCCAACGTGTTACTGATCTTATTGGTGGAAAGTAACATAGGAATGCAACAACATTTGAAAACATGCTTTTTCTCAACAGAGCATTGTAACTATGAAGAATTAAGGTATCCATTTGAAGATCAATCCATATCTCAATATACAATATGAAATGCTAGCTATAGTGCAACGCCTTTACACTCATTAATACATTTTCATCCATTTTTTTCTTTTGCTAATAATTTCGTAGGCTAGAATTCAAGCCTTTAAACAATGTTTTCCAAACATATCATAACATAATTACACAAAACACCCTGTATTCCATTCTAGCACACTATCCCTTCATCCATCCTTCACTACAGGTGTCACATAAATGGATACACAGATGAAGCTCATACTGAGGATTTCTGGATGACATGGGAAAAACAGAAACGAACAAGACTAAACTATCCAAAGGCTACTTCTACCACAGAGCCCAAAAGAACTAGGAAGGAAAAAAAACCCGAAAAATGCAACATATCTCTGCCTTTCTACTCCACCAAGGAATAAGGAATCCCCAGGATCTGAGGCTGCAGCTTGCAGGCATGCTGTCCTCAGCCATGACTCCAGTTTAAGGCATTCCCATCTTCCTACTTCCCTCCAGGTGTTTTCAGGCCTGCTTGCACAGCACACTGCCTGTCAGACACGCTAGGACACCTAAGGAGGTGACACACAAGTGGAAACAGTCAGCACTGATAGAGGAAATATTTTCAATGAATACTGCTGCCAAGAAAATGATACATAAAACATCACCTTCCCAAGTTTGTATCTGTGAGTCTTACAGAATTCAGGCTTAAGCATATCTTTCTGAGGCAACAGCATGCACAGGCGACCCAGCTTTCATAGATGAAGCTCCATGTTTATAGCAAACTTAAAATTTAACAAAGAAACAGATAGTTTATTTAACTAACCCTAAAGGAAATTTTTAAACCAAAACAACAGACACTTTCACTATGGTAAAACTAACCTTTTGCATAAAGCTGAGAGACACTTTTTTCCCATAGTATAAATATCCAAATGATTGTATTTGGCAGAAGAAGAAAAAACCCACACCACTTTCTAAGTGAAGAATGTCCCTGTGCTCACTTACAGAAGGCAACAACTATTGTCACTACAGTTGTACAGACACCAGAGATGCACAGTTCCAAGAACTTTAAATTGAGCACATCGGCCATTTTTCAGCAGCCTGTGATCCAACAAATAGCATACCCCTGGATTATTTTGTTCTTATCAAAATGTTTATGATTAATTATAGTTCTATAATGTTGGCTTCACATAGACATTTTCCCCTTTTAGATCTGCTGTGGACTCAATATAACATCAAACACACTAATGAAAAGCTTTACAAAAGACAATTAAAATTCACTTGAAATAGTCATGTATTTATTTCAACTTCAAGGGGGCAAAATACACAACATTTCCCAGGACTTGACACTAGAATTAAAAAATGAACTACATAAATAGAAAGCCAAATATAAACATGAAGTAAAAGCGATGATTAAAACATATTAAAGAGGAAAGAGGGCATTAAAGCACTTGTGTTTTCAATCATACAATGACTAGAAACAAAACGTTTCCCTTAGAAGTATGTGTGATGAAAACTATGGCATTTATTCAGGAAACAACCTCACTCCTGATTATGGAGATAAATTTCCAATGTTAGGCTATGAAATAATCTGGAGGAGGAGAAACAGTAAAGTACATGAAGAGCTAATAACAAGTTATCAGCTATAGAGCAGAAGAATGAGGTAGAATGAAGATGTAAAATAAGAGTACAGTAGGTCATAACACTTTAGCAGTCATTGATGGGAACAACTGTTTCTATGCTCTCTTCATTTATATAAATCACAGGAATTCCTGAATAACATCATCATTGCAGCTGACATGAAATTAAAATCCCTCAACAGGAAAATGAACCAATGGAAATTTCTGAAATGGACTTTCTACTAGAAAAATACTCAAGTATTAAAATCTGCTTCTGGTGAAAGGTAACTCTTCTGCCCCACCATCAGTCTCTCTCTCCCTTGTCATTCTGCCTGTTCCTTACACAGGCGAACAACTCTTATCATTTGTCTTTCAACCTCATGCCTTTGCAAGCACTGCAGTACAAGAAACGTTTCAAGATGCATGCCTCCAGCACAGAATCTTCTGACTCAGTCCTCTGAGTTACAGTTTAAATGTTCAAAGAAAACAAAAAGATGCAATGTAATTAGAAAACAGCAGATAGCAGAACAGATCCACGCAGGAAGGAAACAGTAGTGAGCAACTTCAGGCAGTCAAGAGCTTTGCATGTTGCAGCAGGAGGTGTTGGTTCAGTACTATGCCAGAAAGAAAAGCACTTGGACTCTGTGCAGCAGTGTACTAGTGATGGCAGATAACAGTGTAAGAAAACTAGGATCATACAGAACCTTACATCCTTTCATATACTGGGAAGCCCAAGCTGTGCAGCACAGCACAGGCCTCCAGCGAGGGCACAGCCACTGCACAGAGGCCATCCTTAGAAAGGCCACACCACTCTGCTCATTTCAGCCCTTACCAGAATTTTTTTCCATGAAAACAACTATGTTTCATTTCTACTGCCAAAAAAAAAAAAAGGATGTTTACATGAGAGCTTGTTGGTGCAGCCCTAGATAAAGGCAAGGCCATGCAGCTGGGATAGTCAGCAGGCAGGAGCTGCCCATGGCTCCTCTCTGGCCATGCGAGGCTGGGCTCACCCTGCAGCCAGGCACTGAGCAACACAGCCCTGCTCAGCTCTCTTACTCCCATTCACCCTGCTGTGGGACCATATTTTGTCAATATTGCATCTCATCAGCAACATTTTTCTATTTTACAGGACATACAGTCTGTACTTGGAAATAATCTTTAGCTGTCCACATGGGAAGGGAGATAAACCTATAGTTTGAGGCCAGCGAGAGTTCCCCTTTTCAAAATCTCAGTATTATCTTTTAGGTTTTCAAAATCATTTTCTCTGAAAAAAAATCTTCGCTTGCTTGTCCTAGACTGTTTAACAACACTCAAGGAACTTTCTAGGAAATACCAAAAGCACAAGGACATCAAAACACCCAAACTATGCAAAAAGGCTGAAAAACATTTTCAGCTCAAATAAAAGAAATGGTCCAATGGAAAAATAGTACAATTACTCACCAGACTGGATGAAACAGTTCAGCTCACACACCATATACTCTGTTCATGAATAAGTATTTTAACATAAGAAGATACAGCTGTGCATTCTACATTTGGAATGGCAAAGCTTTAACCTGAATTAAATATTAATAATTTTCATGATACAAGTTTTTTGATACAGTTTTTTAATATTTTTCTGTTCCTGTTGTGGTTTGTTGGGAAATATTTTCTTTTTCCAGGTTGGCAATAAAAATAAACAAATTGCTTATTATGATAGTGGCTTATAAGGCTTTTAAGGCAGCCTTAACTGTACTTAAAGCTCCTGTAAGTGAAAATTGCATCTCCAGTGGAACTGAGATTAGACAGCATAAATTCTAAATACACCATTTATGGCAAAAAAGAAACAGAAAAACAAAAGCAGTAGAGAGAAAACCCAAGTCATACTTGCAAATCCATTTTTTTTCTTCCCTGTGTATAAACATGTAAGCTGACTAAATGAGTAGGCTGGATAGTTGTCTTTTTCACACTACTGATAAAATTTTCATCACACTGAAGAGTTTCAGGGCAGGCTAAATTACTTTTGCATACTACAGCTTGCCTAATACACTAGAAACCAAACCACTCTGTCTTCTCAAATCCATGCTTTTTAAAAGCAATTTTTCCTTTTTCCATTGCCTTTTACAGAAGAGAAGGCAGGGGAAAAGAGGAATACATTTGTTACTCTAGTTATTTTGGAAAAATTCACTCTTCAACACATTTATTCTAGAAGAATCTAGAGCCTAGAGCATTTTCTGGCCATCCTCTCTAAATTTTAATTATTACAGAAGCAATGAGAGCACATAGAGAAGAGAAGCAGATCCTTTTCATTCATATGATGTCTCTGAAAGTTTTTTTATATACGAGACTTTTTAAAATCATCTCCAGTATCATAAGGCAACTGTTATCTCGACAGAAGCCAAAGTGGGGAACAGAATTGGGTTACAGTCATGTGAGTATGCACACTCACAAAGCAGTCATTAATTAAGATATGCCTGACTGATAGCAGTGCAGTCACTCCTGTCTACACGGTTTCTCAGGACTAGCCTGTGCTTTTGGAATCTGGGTAGCCTTCTCCATGGCTCTGCCCCATTGGCGTTGATTATGTATGATTAATGGTTTAAAGGAATAAAAAGAGAAAGGTCAACTTCTGAGTTCAAAACAGAGCAGCTACATGGGGAGTAATTAAGATACTTGTGTAAGCATGATTAATAAGCACAAACTGGCACACTGTGCTGTAAACAAGATGCAACCAGATGGTTAGGATGAAAAGGAGTTTTCCTAAAAAGCAATTTTTCAATGCCTTGAAAGTTGGCTTATTTTTCCCCCTCTAAGCCTTACACAACTCATTATCTACACATCCTAAAGGGAAGAAAGAAATAGTAACCCCTTCAACATTCCCCCTTTCCTGGCTTTTTTCATACAGATAACTACAGTTTGCATGTAAATGGATTCAACTCATCTTTGTTTAACGTTGCCTTTTATGTCGAGTTTCATGAATTGCTAAGCCTGACAAGGTTCACTGGGAGTCTTTTAACTCCCACCCACAAGTTCTCCCTGGCTGTCATGTGACTGGCAGTATAGAGGGATCAGCAATGGCATTTATGGGGAAAGCGGGAAGACAGGTGTCAGAACGGTCCAGCAGGCAAACCGAACGAACACTAATCAGCTCTGGTGTTCTTTTACAATCCATATCTAATTCACAAGTTTCATTCTTTCTGAAAAACAATTACTAGGTTTTGAAGTTCATTGTGCATTTACTCAACTGTCTCTTCACATTAACGTAAGTGGGAACAAGAAAAAAAGAGTCAGCAGGCAAGGGACATCAAAAGATCTTAGAGAAGATGAAGGCTTTATTTTAAAGTAATATAATTACAGATGAGCATAATGTTTTACAATAAATTTAAATGTATAGTTACATCCTTGTGCGCTAGGAAAATATCGGATGGTTGTCTCTCGAGCTGAAACTCTGGTACATACAAATGACTTTGCTGAGAGAAGAAAAATAAAATCTCATTGCAACATCAAAGGAATGGATATTAAGGCAACAGTGGGAACAACAGAATCAGTACTCTGGGAAGTATCTACACTTATAAGGCTCATCTCTGAGAAATAATAATTAAAGATTACAAAAGGAATATTTTGCATACTTCAAACTCCTCTCAGTGCAACATATTTATTCTCCATAGGTAAATTTTATCTCATCTTCATCTAGTTTATAAAAAACTTAAAAAACCCAAAACCGCAACTCCCCATTTCCCACTGACAAATCCTCTTAGAGTTTGAGTATATAATCTGGTAAAGCCTCAGTTAATCTTCACTGGTGGTAGTGTTACTGACTCCAGTATGGGGAAATTTACTTTTGTGTTATGTGTAATGCTAGAAGACGTCTTTAACTCCAGCATGTTTTCTACCAAGTACAGATTTCTCAGGCACTTCATTTTCAGCCCCACAAGAAGTTACAGGCACACAGCATCTGTTTTCCAAATAATCCTCCATGTAGATGAACATCCTTTCAAGGACTTCTATACAGAGAATAAATAGTTGGTAAGTGAAATGAAAAAGGCCCTATACCAGGACCTCAATGATCCCATTGTTCAGAAGCAAGGATTGATGTTTATGCAACTCAAATCTAGAAATATTTCCTCGATGAGAAAGCAACACATTCAAGTACACATTTTGATTAGAAACTCAATACAGTACTCAAGTGTTAAGTGACTTAGAAGTTTTCCTAATACCTGAATAGTGATCCCAAGAACAGGATGGGCACTCACCTAGAGATACAAGAGTATGGGAACTTCCAATCAATTAACCACAGACAGATGAAAAGCATTTTTCAGTTCCATGTGAGTAAGTTTTGGCACCTGGAAAAGCATCATGGTATGTAACTGCTTTCCCTTTTTCACTGAGCACATCTTTCAATTTCTAGTCAGACAAGCCTTTATCAGTCCTGACTTTTACCACCACCCATTAAATAATGCTTCCCAGACAGGCAGTTATCATGTAATTCTACAACCAAATCAACATGTCGATTGCTAGCATACCTCAACTTTGAAGTTGCTACAAGGAGAACATTAGTAAGTTAAGAACGACCACTGATAGGCTAGCACTGCTAAGGACACCCCTCTAGACCCAGATACCCATAGCTAAGAAATGGGATTCATTTAAAGCCATCCTATGGGACTGCCAAGAGTTTGGCAGGAAAACAATTAAAACGACTTATCTACATCCTGGTGTCACACAATTTCCAAATTCGTTTTTCAAAAGCAATAAAAATTAATATTGATTATGCTCAAAACTATTGTTAGGATAAGTCTCAGGAGTCCAAACAACCATGTTGAAAAAAAAAATTAAAAAAAAAAAAAATCAAGCTCATGTGAAACGTGCGTCCATTAATATTTGTGTCATTTTTTTATATGGGATGAGTCAGACTATAGCTCCATCCCACAATCAATCATTCTTGTATTGTGTTTCTGCTTTTTTCTGTCTATTGTATGAACAATAAGTAAGTAAGAAGACAAACTGGCATGGATGTTACTCACCAGTGCTGATAAGTAAACAGGAAAGAAAGCTGGATAAATAAACTTGTGCTAAATACATTCTACATATTGGGAGCTTCAACTTCTGATTACTGACCTCTTAGAAAAAGTGTATGTTTTCAACACTGAGTAGTCATTTTCCCTGAAGTTTTTTCTAAGCCACAATATATGCTGAACAATTTATATACTACACAAAGGCTTGGAGTTACAAAAACTGAAAGAGGAAATGTAATAAATATACAGACTTTACTGTTTCATAATATTTAAGCTAAAAGGCTCCAATATTTCACTGCAATACAACATTATATCAATTTTTTTTTAATACTTAAAAAAGAAAAAAAAAGTGAATATATTTTCATTACCACTTAGAAAGGTTTTCAGATACATATTCATATGTGAACAGAATTGAATCAACAGGAAACCCAAACTTTACTCTAGAAAAGCCTAGGATGATTCATTTTTCAAGGGAAATTTGAGAAAGATTTAAATTGTCCCATATTAACTAATCAAGCACACATAACGAGAAAACCACATTACATGCACACAAGAAGTCATCCCTGTGGCAGAGTACCCAGACTCCTCACAGAGCACACCCTACAAGTCTTCTCCTTAGTCCCTCAAACTCAAGTCAGACAACCCTTATGCTCATTTTATGCTTCTTTCTTTCTTTCTCTCTTTCTGCAGAAAAAGCAGAGTATTCATGTTATCTTAATGAATTGAGCTCCATATTAACAACGTTATTAAAAGCCATGCCTATGCCACTATTTTTTGAGTATTTTCTGCAAGACCACATTGGAGAGTGCATCTTGCTCTTGCATCAGCTGTGAAACTTTACAAAGACAACTGTATATTTCTATTTCTATCTCGTTTTGGTGTCTGAAATGACATCCTCAATACTGTCTGCGATTTCTCAACAGCTTAAAAGGAGAAAATTATCTAGCTGAACACAGAAACAATCAAAAACCAAAAGCCATTGTGGCTGCACTGGGGAAACTGGCTCCACAAAAACAGTGGTTTTGCAAAGATCCTATTTCAGACTACAGTGACTCTATGGACAAACACACCACAATTTCCCCAGACTGAGACACAAATATCAGGTTGCTGTAAGCCTGTTTTATCTTTTTAAACCAGCCCTACCCTGGCAGCATCTCTAGTCCAAGCTAATTGTGAGTGACTTCAGACATCAGGACAACACCGTTCCATGCGTCAACAAAATGGAGAACTGACAGGTAGACTACAAACAATGACAGTCACCAAGCAGGAACCAGGTTAGCTTAAGTTTTTTGTGCCTTTTTTTTTTTGGAGTGGGGGGCGGGGGGGGAGGCCCTCAAGGCATAGAAACTAATGCATAGACTACAATGAGATATGCAGATACAGTCCATATGGTCCAAATAGCTTGATTTTCAAACAAGACTCAACCAGTATGCAAAGATGTCATTGAGTGATATCAGTAACACTGATAACCAACAACATTTTTGCCAGTAACAACCTTTAATCATCTGTGTCTCGGTGTTTTGAAGTGATATATTTCAAAAATGTCAAAACTCAGTGAAATGTGGTACTAAAATTAATAGTCTGTTTGCTTTCCCTATTGATATACCAGGTTTCAGACTGTCAAAGTGCTTTTAGTTGTAAAAGAAAAAGTACAAAGTTGTTTTGACAACTACAAAAAGATTTATCAGTTACATGTACCTACTGAAGTACCTAGATTCTCAAAGTGAAAATGTGTGTATGCAAGGTTCTAATACTAAAAGTTGTCAAGTGAATATCAATATATTAATCTTGCAAACAAGATAAACTTTAAATTATTTCATCATATAGCATGTTATCTTGAGCTGAGGTGTGTTACTTAACAATACTAAATTAATTTTCTACCTCTGTTTTGCTTCCAGTAGGTATTTTTTTCATGCTTGCCAAACTTGAGTTCATCTGTGTTATAGTGGATTTATTCCTCTCTAAGCCACATATGTGTAATATACCTTATATGTATTAACATACAGCAAAATGCATGCAACACACAGAGAATAAGTCACATTCTGTTCCTTA